CAGACCGGGGCGGGAGACGGGAGGGTGCTGCAGCAGTGGGACCACAGGAAACGGTGCCCACTGGTACTGGGCTGGCTGCGGGGCACCCGACATGGGCATGATAGACTCCGGAAGTGGTGCCAATGTCTTTCCTGGTGTCCACTGTGCTTCTCTCACCGGCGTTGGTAACGAAGTTGTCTGGGGTGGCAGCACCATGAGAGGCTGTGGCACCGCTGGCCAAGGCTCACCCAGCACAGGGGCAACTGGTGCAACGGTGCCCACTGGTACTGGGCTGGCTGCGGGGCACCCGACATGGGCATGATAGACTCCGGAAGTGGTGCCAATGTCTTTCCTGGTGTCCACTGTGCTTCTCTCACCGGCGTTGGTAACGAAGTTGTCTGGGGTGGCAGCACCATGAGAGGCTGTGGCACCGCTGGCCAAGGCTCACCCAGCACAGGGGCAACTGGTGCCATCACGGCCCCCAGTGTTGGTGGCCGCGATCCTACTAGCCCCAGCGCTGAGTGCGGGGAGGCCATGAGGTGGATCAACTCATGAGCCGCCTTGAAGGTCTCAGGCGTCGATGGCCGGTGCAGTGACAGCACGCCTGGACTACTGCCAAAACCGTCCTCCTGAATCCCAGAGGGAGGAGCATCAGACCGCTCGAATCTCCGCTGGCGATGGTACTTGCCTGCGCCAGGCTTCCAGCTAGGCAACCGACCCCTTGAAGCCTTAGCCCTCTTTGGGGCCAGGCATTGTGAGCGGTGTCTCGGTGCTGGTGGCTTAGGCACCGATGCCTCATTGCACTGGCACAGCACGCGCTGTGTCCGGTGCACTGGTTAATGCAGTCTGAAGAACCGGTGCCGGTTGCAGAGCCTCCTCCATCAATAACAGTTTTAAGCACGAGTCCCTGTCTTTTTTTGTTCGGGGTTTGAATGCCCGACGGATTCTGCAGGTGTCTGTCAAGTGATCCTCCCCCAGACACTTCAAGCAGTTGTCATGGGGATCACCTCTGGGCATAAACTTCGTGCAGGACACACAAGGCTTAAACCCCTGCGGTCCAGGCATTCCCTACCCCCTGAGAGGGGTGGGAGTGGGAACAAAGGAAGTCAAACACTAAGGGTATGTCTACACTACAAAGTTAATTTGAACTAACGGACGTTAGTTTGAATTAACTTTGATAGGCGCTACACTAGCGCTCCGCTAGTTCAAAATTAATTTGAACTAGCGGAGCGCTTAGTTCAAACTAGGTAAACCTCATTGTACGAGGACTAAGCCTAGTTCGAATTTACTAGTTCGAATTAAGGGCTGTGTAGCCCCTTAATTCGAACTAGTGGGAGGCTAGCCCTCCCCAGCTTTCCCTGGTGGCCACTCTGGCCAACACCAGGGAAACTCTATGCCCCCCTCCCGGCCCCGGACCCCTTAAAGGGGCATGGGCTGGCTACGGTGCCCGTGCCAGGTGCAAGCCTGCCAGCCCCCAGCCAGCAGACCCTGCACCTGGCACGGCTCTAGCCAGCCACCCGATGCCCCCCAGCCCTCCACCTCTTCCCGGGACCAGGCTGGTGGCTCCCGGGAGCTTGCCCGGGACTGCAAGAGGTGGGCACCCGCCTGGTCTAGTGCAGACATCGTGGACCTTGTCCACGACCTACGCACTAGGCACAGGAAAGTGGCCGTCTAGGGCAGGAGAGCTGCCAGCCTGGCCACCCAGGAGCAGGTGTGCATGAAAATCAAGTTGGTCCACTGAGACCCCCGACCCTGAGCCCTGAGCTTACAATGGCCGTACTGGGTCAGACCAAAGGTCCATCTAGCCCAGTAGCCTGTCTGCCAACAGCGGCCAACCCTAGGGACCCTGGAGGGGATGGACCGAAGACAGTGACCAAGCCATTTATCTCGTGCCATCCCTCTCCAGCCTTCCACAAACTTTGGGCAGGGACACCACTCCTACCCCCTGGCTAATACCACTCCATGGACCCAACCTCCATGACTATCTCACTTCTCTTTAAACTCTGTTCTAGTTCTAGCCTTCACAGCCTCCTGCAGCAAGGAGTTCCACAGGTTGACTCTGCTTTGTGAAGAACAACTTTCTGTTACTAGTTTGAAGCCTGCTACCCATTCCTTTCCTTTGGTGTCCTCTAGTCCTTCTATTATGGGAACTAATGAAGAACTTTTCTGTATGCACCCTCTCCACCCCACTCGTGCTTTTATAGACCTCTATCCTATCCCCCCTCAGTCTCCTCTTTTCTAAGCTGAAAAGTCCCAGTCTCTTTAGCCTCTCTTCATATGGGACCTGTTCCCAACCTCTGATCATTTTAGTTGCCCTCCCCTCTCCCACCCTCTCTCTTCCCCTCTCCCACCTCCTTTTCCCAGTCTCCCCAAGTTTTGTTCAATAAAGAGATTCTATTTTTGACCACACGTTTTCTTTATTTTGTACATCAGGAAGGGGGGCTAGGGAAGGGTAAGTGGAAGGAGGTGAGGGAGGAATGGGATACGAGCCCCCGATGGGGAGGACTGGGCTGGCTCTGCGGGCT